AGAGAGAGAGAGAGAGAGAGAGAGAAAGAGTGCAAATGAGGGTTATATGCGTGAAAGCTCAGTATGCAAAAACCGAGATTATATATTATATATTAATATTCAAATGAGATAAAAAGAAAAGGGAGGAAAATAACACGAAAAGACGAAGAGATAGTGCGAACAGATGTTTAGAGAAAGTGTGTTTTGCAACAGTTTATTAGAGAGAAAGAGAAAGAAAAAGGAAAAAAGAAAATAGTTGTAGTATCGTTTGAAGTATTTTTAGATTTATACGTCACTCTTATTGTTACGATGACGACGACGACGATCGTATATACACCGGCGATTTTCTAGCGATGTCTCGAGAACGACGATCCCTCGAAGGCGTTCGCATCGATGTCGCGATTTAAATTGTACAACGTACATTAAAGAAGAAAAAAAAAAAGAAGAGAGAAGAAAAGTGTGTGTGTGAGCGTGTATATGAATGAGAGAGAGAGAGAGAGAGAGAGATTGATCACGAGATCTCGATACTGTGTCTTCCCGTCACTCTCTCGTGTCGAGAGGCGAATATTTCTTTGGAGTTCAAAGGTCGATGGAGCAGAAACAATAAACGTGCCGTTTCGAGAGAAAATTTGACAGTCAGCTTTATTATCGTTTCGTTGTCGCATGGACTCCTACTTTTCTCCAGTACTTTCTTTCGCTTCGATCATCTCGCGATCCATCATCAACTATTTCGTACAATAATATAATTTACATTTCTGAAGAGAGCGTCGTTCGACATCGCTATCTGGCACCTCTCTCAATAATTCGCAATATATTATTAGTTAAAGTTACCCAATACTCTTAGATTCTTTTCTAAACGCTTCGTATTTATAGCGTGTTGCACCATTCTCATAAAGAGTGTGGTTTTCCTCGATAGAGAGAAGTCTGCCTTACCGAGGATCGTATTATAAATTTCACAAAACTATAGAATCTAGGTGAAGACAAAAGAAAAAAATATCAGGCAAATATTCTTTTCTCTCGTAACTACTATTAGATATTAAAAAAAATAAAATTTGAATAGAAATTGCAACGTTTTCAATGAGTCGATATACGTTTGATTAGTCACAACTGAGCTTTCACTCGAAATGCTCAAAGTAAAACTATAGATATAACAGATTGATTGTAAAATTCACACAAAGATTTGGGAATTCATAAGAAAATTCGCTGAATTAATACGTCTAGTTTCTGAGAAAAATACACTTGCATCATTTTTCTCCTACACAACACGCTATGATCATTTGTTCGTGTCAGTATAAATTGCATACATGCTCAAGAAGGAACAGCTGAACCGAATTATGTACGTCACGTCAACTACTATTATTAAAACTAATGAAAGCAAGTGGGAGAGACGATTAGTAGATGAACTTTTGTTGTCAGAACTATCTGATTATATATATAAGCAAATTCTATTACATCAAACCAAATTTGATACTATTCCCCGTATACATCAATAATGCGATTAATGTCTACAATTCGATTAATTATCTATAATTAAATGCGAAGTAACCGGATTTTAGTTTACAAAAAATTCACATTTAATTATGAAAAGTTCTCATTAAAAACGACAGAAGGAAACGTTCGAGTACTGTACGGGAGAAGGGAAAAAAAAAAAAGAGAAAATAAAGATTTGTAATCTCGTGTCTTTCGAGAGGGATATCGATATCTTGGCGATCGTGATCAAGAAAGAAGAACCATCGCTCCTCTATCTTTGCTCCAAAATACTTCCTGCTGCCGCGACTGAAAAGCGTGGCAAGTGTTGCGTTAATCGTCATTCGATTTGTGTCCTCGGATTACGAAACATGGTGGCGGGAAGAAACGTGTCGGTCGAAAACTTCGCCAAGCGAGGCAGGAACGTCATCGAGTGGTCGTCGACGCGTCGTTGCTCTACATGTACTTATTTTCGTCGTCACTGCGATAACACCTCGCGACGTGAACCGATAAAAATCGCCGAGAAACGGAGGGAGGAGGAAAGACGAAAGAGGGATTCCTTTATTGTCGTTTCGCCCGAGAGAACAGGATTCTCTCTCTGTTTCGCCGAGTTTCCTCCAACCGAGTCGAACTCGTTCGTCTCCGACCACTCGCTAGTCTCTGGTCATCACCGATGCTGCGACGACTATTGAGACTGAAGGTGGTGAGTAGCTCTGCCCGCGAGTATAGTTAGCGCGATCACGTGAGCCGGCCGTTCGATTTTTAGCGCCGACACGAGTCGTGGCCATATTTTCATTAATCGCGAGGACCGGCGACGCGATCTCGTTGTTCATTTCGTCGACAATGACGCTGTGCGATCTCGCAGTTCTCAAATTATTAGGCTGTTAGGATGTTTGGAAGTATCGTTGAAAAATTAGAACGGTTGTTTCGTGTACATGAAATATTGTAAAAAAGCAGCGTGCATGTATTTATATGTGATTCAAATTTTCTGTAAGTGCACAAGTGTCTATCTGTTAGAAACTTACTTCTGTTCAAGAGCCTCGGGGCACTTTTTATTTTTTAATATTCAGCGTTCGCGCGAGATAATAAAATTTTCCTCGACGTGTGCACGTGTATTTATAACGCAATTGTATATATTAACACTTTGAACAGACTTGAACTATCATTTCGTTTTTCCAGTTTTTGAACGAATGTGATACTTATCCCGAGGCTTTTCAACGACGTGTGTACACTGCTTGCTAAAAAAGTTTGCAATATTAACTTAGGAATGAAACTGTACGATTTTTTTCTTTTTTATCAACTCGAAAAATTTATTTAGGATTTTCGGATTTGTACAATCCTGATTTTTAGAAGCCAAGAAATTGATATTCGAAATTATTAGAATATTGGAAAGTTGAGAATTATTGGAATTGGTATTAGAAATTAAAACGTCGAAGATTATTACATGCTAGAAATTATTGGAATATCGGGGAACCACTCTGAAGTTACTCTGTATGTAAAAATAAGTCGAACAAGTGAAACAAAATTTCTCCGTTTAAGTCATCATTGTCAAAGCGTCACTGTCAAGCGAAATTTGAACGACATTGCGTCACACGTCAT